ATCTTGGTGTCTGTGTACGTGTCTCCCTGGGGGTGCATGTGGGGCATCTGTTGCAGGGATAGACATGCAGCTTTCCTTCCACCTACACCTGGCTAGGGATTATAAGGGAAACCAAGGAATGTGCTTCTTCTAGAAATCCAGGTTTTGGCAAAGCCAGGAGGGGAGTGGAATTCAGGACCATTTTGCTTTTCTCAAACCGTTATTGGAGACAAAGTTAGAGCTTGGAAAGTGCCTCTTCCTTCATTCAGTCCCATGCTCCTCAGTTGAGCACTGTGCTGGACTCTGGCAACCCGGAGATGATGTGCCCAGACTCCAGGAAAGATGAGTAATGCTTATAAGCCTCCATGATATGAAGCAGAAGTGCCAGGAAGCTGCTCAGAGCAGGGAGAAGAGATTCAGGTCAGGCTTCCTAAAGGGTGGAGTAGGAGGGTGCAGGGAAGAGGGCCCAGGGCAATGCGGAGGGCCTAGACATGCCGGGACGGGAATATAAAACTGATGAAATTAATGAGAATGTGAATATCCAGTGTCAGTAAAGATCGACGTCTTCATTGACTGCTCAGTGAAAACAAAACATTTGTAGAGCCTTTCTAAGGTACATCTTGGTAATCTAAATCAAAAATGTTTAGAAGGTCCCCCTACCTAGCAATTACACATGCAGCATTTCATCCTGAAGAAATAATTGAGGATATGGGCAGAGAAAAATTACAAGGCTGTTTATTGCAGTACAGTGGACAATAGCAAAAAGCTGGAAACAGCCAAATGTCCAGCAACAGGGAGACTGTTTCAGCAAATTATATCCATATGCAATTATTCCAAAATAATTTTGTAGAGGTCTGTTTGTGGCAAGCCTTGTTAGTGGCACATCAAATATACTTTCCCCTTTTCTTCTATGCTAACAGAACCCAGAGATTGTTCAGTTAGCAATGAATGTTCGCTGCTCCAGGCACAAAATCCTGACAATCCTGTTCCCATGTTCTGCCAGCTATCTTGGGGAACTGTACTCCAATGAAGTCAGCTGCCTGTGCCCAATGTCATGCTCCCTTCCAGGAGTGGGGGCACCCCACAGCTAAATAAAGGCCCGGCCTTCTTTCTTCAGTTTGGGACAACATTACACGGCCCACTAAGCTACAAAGACAGAAATCAAGGCAGATACACAACAAGGTATAGCACAGGAAACTACACTCAATAGCTTGTAATAGCCTATAATGAAAAAGAATATGAAAAGGAATATATATATATATATATGTGTATAACTGAATCATTATGCTGTACACTAGAAATTAACACAACATTGTAAATCGACTATACTTCAATAAACAAATAAATAAGTTGATTTACAGGGCGGGGGTGGTAGAGCTCAGTGGTAGAGTGCATGCTTCGCATGCATGAGGTCCTAGGTTCAATCCCCAGTACCACCATCAAAATAAATAAATAAACATAAAGCCCCCCCAAATAAATAAATAGTACAAAAATAAAATAAATGTTCTAAAATTTTAAGTTGATTTGTATAGCAAAAAAAAATAAGTCATCAAGATTTCAAAGAAAACAGTCAAGACAAAGGCTTCGACTCAGAAGGCAAAGATCTGAGAGTGGGACAGCAAGTGTTCAGTCAAGAAAGTGTATCTGACTCTCTCATAGCTCATAGGAGACCAGATGCCCCGGCCAGGGAGGGGCCTAGAGCTGAATGAGGGTTGGTAGGTGGGGAGCATTGTCTATCCACCCCTGGAGTGGGCAGCTTACACTTAGGAAGCTGTTCAGGGTTCCATGGGTCATTGAGGCCTCGGGGAAGCCATCTGCCCTTTCCCAGTCTCAGTATCCTTCACCGTCAAAGGTCTTGCCTGCCTGCAGCCCAGGCCCAGGGAAGCACTGAGCCCGGAAGAGTAGCCTGCAGGCAGCGAGCCGGCAGAATGGCTGCTCCTTGCTACTGAGTTCCCATCTTGCTCCTCTGCCACTTTTGAGTCTTCACACCCTGCCCCCAGGAGCAAGGCTTGGAAATGGGTTGGGGGAGGCCAGGCCTCATGGGGCTGCCACCCTGGGTGAGGAGGGGGCAGCTCCACTGCTAGCCCTGATTCCCCACCAATTTGCCCAGGCAAAGTAGGGGAGACAGAGAGACTCCCCCAAAACCCTTCTCCTGGCTCAGGTTGGACAATGGTGACTGCAGCTCCTGAATTCCAAATCCGGCCCAGATGGAGAGCAGGTTTTGAGAGAGCAGAGAGGTCCACCCTTCTAGGTTCAGTGCCCTAGCCCTGCCCATCTTCACCACCCCCAAAAAAGCCTCTCAGGCGTAGCATCAGAGTCTTTCTGTGCTCCTACCTCAAACCTAAGCAGATAGCTTTCTTCTAGATCCTTCAGGGGGTCACCACTAGTGACTGTGGAGTGTCACATGGCAGCAGGCCACTGTGCACAGCTGGTCAGGCTGTGCCCTGGCCAGAGACACCTAGCCAAGGAGGAAAGTGGGGGCAGAAATACAGCCTGGGTGCCTCTAGCATCCCTGGGTCCTGGCCTGGGGCCGTGTCCATCAGGAGGCAGAAGCGTCCTTCCCTGAAGTTCACAAAAGCCCTCTGTGAGCTGGTGGTGCCCCTCAGTGTCCAGGTCTTCAAAGCAAAGAAGTGAGGAGATGGATGAGTCAGAAAGTGGATGTAACCCCAAGGGCTGGGCACTTCTCAGCCCAGGAACGCCTGGGAGCTGGAAAAAAAAGTCTCAGCCATTGTCTAGTTCAGCCCTATACATTGTCAGGAAAAACAATGAAGGGCTTTTAAATGGACAGAACTATTCCCAGGTGTCCTTTCAATGGGACTTGGTGCATCTAGGGGACTTTACAGCTTATCTGATCCATAGGGGCAGCACCCTTGTCTCTGGCTGGGCCATTTTGAAACTATAGAGACAAGAGGTAACATGTGCAAAGGAGGTGGTGGGAAGGGATAAATTTGGGAGCTTGATATTTGCAAATGTTAACCACTATATATAAAAATAGATAAAAAAACAAATTTCTTCTGTATAGCAGAGGGAACTATATTCAATATCTTGTAATAACCTTTAATGAAAAAGAATATGATAATGAATATACGTATGTATATGCATGACTGGGACATTGTGCTATATACCAGAAATTGACATTGTAACTGATTGTACTTCAATAAAAAATAATAATGATAATAATAATTCCTAAAGAGTTTACCCAAAAGCTCTTTCTCATTTGCATTTAAGTTACTTATAAGAATATCACACCAAGTTATTTTTCTTGCTGATACATTTGTAACAGATATAACAAGGTCTTTCTGGACTTCCATTAAACCTAGGTACAATAAGTCTTATGCTTAACATCTTTTTTTGAGAAAGAGTTAACCTGCACAGAGCTGAGGATTCCTGTTATTAAATGTGCAAATAAACTCTGTATGTAGATATACAACTGATTTCTGCCCTGTAGAGAAGATGGTTCCAAATATTCTGGTGCAGCCACTGGCAAGTTCATTTACATCTGTCTGCAGAGTCTGATTGTAACGTCTTCCCAGTTCTCTCATTAATAAAAGACCTAAATAAAATCTTTGGTATGCATTCACTTTATATTTGTATGAGTTGTGATGTTACCGCTTTGGAGATTTCCCTTTAACGGCATCTATCAGCTCATAGCAAAGATGAGGTCACCAAGGTGGAAAAGAAGGGACTCGCATGAAGTGATCCTCAGAGGCTGGGGTTGGGAGACACAGCTGAATCCAGGCCATTCTGGGCTCTGCCCGGCTCCTGGAGGGAGGGGCTGTGCTTTGCAGTGTGTGGAATAGGGGGGCTGTGATACCTCCCCACCCTGAGGATGTGGAATGACCCTTTGGGGTGAGGGGCCACCCCTGTTGGTCCCCACCTTCAGGGCTGTGCCCCCATTCAGATCTAAAACACAGCCAGCTTCCCGTCCCCATCCTGGACAATGGTGGTTTAGGTGGGCTTATTAAGGACATGCAGGTGCCAAAATGCCCCCACTGTCATCCTGGGCTGCTACTTGCCTAGTAACTCCAGCAGGAACGGCTTTCTTCTCGGGCAGGTTGCCGAGCCGCAGCTTCCTTATCGATGAAATGCCGGTAATTATGGTTCCTGCCTTACAGTGGTGTGGAAAAGATCAACTGAGATAATGGAAGAAAAGCTCTTTAAATTGTCCAGCACAGAGCAAGCACTCAATAAATGTCTGCTGCCAGTCATTAGGTCTGTGTGCTTTGTGGGACTGCCAATGGCAGACAGCTTGGAAAGGATGCGTGGGACCCCTTCCAGACGCTGGCCTAGCAGGACCCAGCTGCACCATCCTAGGCTACGACACCCAGCAAGTGCTCCCTGAGCGATGGATCAGTGAGTCAGATCCCTGGCCAGCAAAGATACAGCTGGCTAGCTCTCTCTGGCATCCCCGTGCTGCCACCCACGGGATCCTGGGGCCCAGAGGGCAAAGTGGGGAGGAACACATGGAAGAATGGGTGCCCTGGGGGAAGTCACCTCCTAGGGCCCTGGTTTCTCCACCTGCACCACAGGCACTTTGGAGCTGGGAATTGTTAAGGATCTTTGCAGCCACCTTTTAGGGGAGAACAGATGGTCTTCAAGAGCGTAACAGCTGGAAGCTGAGGCTCCCCCCACCCCACTTCCCACTCCCTCGCCAGGCCCTGCTTTCAGAGATAAAGCACTGCAGACAAGAAGGAGAAAGGCACGCCCCTCCACAACAAGGAAGTTGCCCTGCAGGCTGAGAGGCAGAGCTGGCGGAGAGCCCAGGTGCCCAAGGCTAATGTGGAGATTTTGGTCCAGGTCACTCCTGAGGCCGGCCTGGAGAATTTGGAGGGGCCCAGGGATGGACTCAGTGGCCTGAGGGGTCCTTTCCAGCCCTTGGATCAGAGCCGTGACCGTGGCATTGGCATGCTTTGACCTCAAAGGACACTTCTTTTGTGTGTGTGTATGATTTATGTTTATTTATTTAATAGTGAATTAATCAATAATCAAACGGAGATGACACAGAGAAAAAGAGCCCATGCTAGACCAGTGATGTTGACTGGTGGCATAGGAGTCATATACGAATGTGATGTGTCTGTAACTCTGATGCCACACAAAGCAAACTCCTGTCTAGTTTCTGTTGTAAATGACCCAATGGGTCAACGCTAGGAATATACAAACATTATATTCCTATTTGGGGTCTAGGATTTAAGTTAATTATTTTTTCTGATTTTTTAACATGTATGTTTTCTTTTTTCTGGGGTTGGGGGAGGTAATTAGATTGACTGATTGATTGATTGATTGATTGGTAACGGAGGAGGATTGAACCCAGGACCTCGTGCACGCTAAGCTCATATTCTACCACTGGGCTATGCCCTCCCCACTAGATTAATGATTAATAAATCAGTAATCAAGCCATTGAAAAATGTGAAAGACAGATAAAAAGAAGAAGGTGAGGCATTGTCAAAGGATCAATCTTGAAAATGAGCAGAGAACCCCACTGGGGCAGGAGAGGGCAGGAAGGTGGATGTGTTCTTCAGGGATCTGTGGGTTGTAAGTGACAGAAACAGAAGTCAAACCATCTGAAGGACAAGGGACTTACTCCAGTAACTGAAGAGACCTGGGTGTGCACTTCACATCTGAGAACTCTCTCTCACTGGGACTGGGCTCTGCTTTTTCTTTGACAGCGTTATTCTCAGCAGCTCCTCTCCTGGGGTGGCCACCGCACCTCCACATGAACAGATAGGGCGAAAGGGAAGCCTCTTTCCCTGTAGTCCCAGCTTCAGGTCATGTGGCCTGGCTTGGGTCACATGCCCATTCCTGATCCTGTGGTCAGGATGACAGATTGCCCTGATCAGCCATGCTAGTCATGGGTCCACTCCTGGAGCTTTGGACTGGGCTGGGGGTAGTTAGCCCCAGAAGAACCACACACACTGGGGTAGAGGGAGGCATGTAGTCAAAAGAAAACGGAGGGGGAGGGGAGGGTATAGCTCAGTGGTAGAGTGCATGCTTAGCATGCATGAGGTCCTGGGTTCAATCCCCAGCACCTCCATAAAGGAAGGAAGGAAGGAAGGAAGGGAGAAAGAAAGAAAGAAAG